GCGCGTGTGTGTTGCGCATATATTATATAAAGAGGATGTCAACACTGAGTAATCTTGATTTCGGTATCTGAATGATAACGTGTTCGATTGTGTGAAATAAGAATCATGGACAGATTCGGTCATGTCTATTGAATCCCTTGCTTCATTCATACATATACTTGTCAAAATGAATTGTGCTCTCTTGTTTTGTTTTGGTTTTCATAATAGATTGAGATTACCCTGTCAACAGCAAACAAGCAGTCGCGCGCGCGCGCGCACACACACAAACACACGCACACAACACACGCACACAAACACACACACACGCACACAAACACGCACGCACACACACACACACGCACGCACGCACGCAAGGCGCACACACACACACACACACACACACACACACACACACACACACACACACACACACACACACACACGAACAATACAATAACCTGTATTTGTATCCCCCAAAAGGTCATCTTCGCTCTGCTGACCCTCGCCCACGGGGAGCCTGACCTGCCGACCTCCTCGTGGCTCCGTCACTGCGAGAAGGACACGCCCACTCCCGTCCAGGGCGTGACAGAGGGCGTGGTTCCTGCGTGGTTGGAGGGACGCCTCACGAGAGTGGGTCCCGGGATGCGACATGTCGGGAACACGTCCTACAGGCATTTGTTTGATCCGTTGGCCGTCCTCCATCTGGTCACCGTCCAGGGGGGGGAGGTCACCTACACGTCCAAGTAAGGGATCGTGTGCCTCTGTTTTCCATTATGAGTCTTGCTCTTTCTTTCTTTTTCTCTCGTTCGCGGTCTCTCCTCCCTTTCTCTTATCCTCATATCTTCTCTCTCTCTTCCACTAACTGACTGACTGACTGACTCTCTAATGTTCTGCTCAAATATTGTGACGAATTAAGATATAGACTAATTGGTAAATCTCCCATTTCTTCAAGTGTTCTCCATACTACTTATGGTACAATAAAGTCAGATATTAGATTTGGGTTCCGAACGACTATTGATACTTACAAAATAAATAAATAAAAATCGAAAGACAGAAAACTCGCGGACTTTTACCTACATAAGACTGATCCAAAGTCTCCCCCGCCGTCCTTCCGTCAGGTACCTGGACAGCGACGCCTACCGAGCAAACCTGGAGGCAAATCGCATCGTCGTGGGAGGGTTCGGCACCGCCCCCTTCCCTGACCCATGCCGTACCTTGTTTGACAGCGTGGCGTCTTGGTTCTCACGTCCGCCCAAGATAATGGATAACTGCCTTGTCAATGTTCTGCAAGTGAAGGACCAGATGATTGCCATGACGGAGACGGATGAAGTGAGAGTTGTGGACGCGGAGACTTTAAACACTTTCGGACACAAGGTTGGTGAAAACCAGAGAACACACACACTGATGAATGTCTAATGGGATGTATTTTATGGCGGGAAGTAATAATATGTTACCTTGTACATGATTAAGATTTTTACCAGATATATTTCTTACCAAAACTAAGAATATGTAAACCAACCCGTTCCGATAGTCTAAATTAACCCAGAGGTTCTCAAAGTGGGGATCTCGACCCCCAGAGAGGTCACGAGATCCTGCGACCCCTCCCTCCTCCCTCTCCTCTTCCTCCCACTATCCATGCTAACGCGTTTAGTACTTGTCAGTGGTGGTCTTTGCAATATAATGTGCTCCACACTAATAATCTTGTGATATTGATAATTGTTACTTCTTTGTTGCTGGGGAGTGGGCCGCAAATTTATAGAAGTAATTTATAGGGGTTGCATCCACAAAAGTTTGAGAACCTCTCATCTGACCTACTACATTGTTATGCATCAAGGTAAAATGTACCGGAATAAGAATATTTTTCATTTTGATTTCCAGCTAACAATATCGGATTACGTTGCAATCCGACAAGCCACCGCCCACCCTCATGTCGAACCAGACGGCACTGTTTACAACCTAGCTTCTTCCGGAAACAGAAACGGCCCCACCTATAACATCATCTCTCTCCCCAACGGTGAAATTGAAATGGCAAAAATGGAAGCATCGATTCTCGCCAGGTGGAGGTTCCATCCAGGATACATGCACAGTTTTGCCATCACGGAAAATTACTTCATCCTGCTTGAAACGCCTTTCACGTTTAGCATCGGCGCCCTTCTGGCCGGGCGCTACTTCGGCAAAAGCTTCGAGGAGGCTATGGTGTGGTTCCCCAACGAGAAGGTCCATTTCAGGCTGATTGACCGGCGGACCGGGCAGGAGCACCCCACTACCTTCACCTCCGACGCCTTTTTCACCTTCCATCACATCAACGCTTACGAGACGAGTGATGACATGCTCGTCATCGACGTCTCCCATATCGAATCCGGCGATATCGTGAAGGCTCTCTACTTCTCCAATATCAACAAAGCGAACACTGACCCGACGAAGTTGAAATCTAACACTGTGGCCAAGAGGTTCCTCTTGCCCTTGGGAGATGTCAGTGGAATGCCCACAGAAAGTGAGCTCCTGGAGGGGGTTTCAGATGCCAAAGTGGAGAACCGTGCAGGAGACTCGGCTTCTGCAAAGAAAGTCAACGACAACACGATTCACCTTGAGGCCCTCACCCTCAACCCTATATTCTTTGAAATGCCAAGAATAAATTATGCCTACAATGGTAAACGGTACCGTTATGCCTATGGTGTAAGTAATGAAGGGATGGTCCTCGACTTTACAACACTTGTCAAGTTAGATGTGAAAACAGGTGAGAAAAAAGTTTGGATGGACCCTGCATACTTCGTCTCAGAACCAGTCTTCGTAGCCTCTCCTGATGGCAAGTCCTCTGGAGTAGAAGATGATGGAGTAGTGTTGTCTCTCCTGCTTCACAAGACAAACCCTCGCCTTCTTTCATTTTTAGTTCTAGATGCACAGAATTTCAACCAGATTGCCAAGGTTGACTTTGAAGCACAAGGGACTGTAACGCCTACATTCCATGGTCAGTTTGTCAGTTCATTTGACCAGGTTCATGGTTATTAAATAACATATTGTATAGCAAATCCCTCTACTGTGTTAAAAAAAAACAGGGAGAAACACCACTCATCTTACATATACTGAGTTTTCTATATTCATGGACTCCTTAATAGCCAACATCAGTGAATTTTTTTTCAACATATATTCATATTTGGATATTTACACGCTCAGAGTAAGGTTTCATATTTTTCTATGGAGTTTTCATTTCTTGTTTTGCAAAAACAAAAAATTTAGTAACTTCACACATACTCAAATAGCTTTATACCATTGAATAAATACTGAAATATTATTTTCTTATCCCATTTTATTGATTCATCATAATTATCACATCCCTGTTATGATACTCCAATACAGCATTAAAATAATCTTGCAAAACTAATAGCACAAAACATCACACTAAGGAAATACCTTTACAAATGCATGAAAAGTAACACTGTAAAACATCTGGCAAACCAAAAGTTGAGTTTGAAAAGAAAACAAACCTTCAATTTCCACAAACAAGAACACAAGTAACTACTTTGTTTCACATCTAAAGTCTATTCATTAAAAGTATTGAATCACTGATAGATGTTTACAGGCAATGATTAACTTTTTTTTCTTAAGAGAAGTTGTAGTCTGATAACTTTTCAGTATAGGTAAAAAAGGGTATTGAAACAAGTATATTGTAAAATGGTTTGATATTACTTAGTTTTGGATTTCTGGCAAAATAAAAAAAGGGGAAAATAGAACATAAAAATCAAAAGACAAAAATAAGATGAAGAAAAACATTCTTAGAAAAAAAAAAAATACAATAAAATATACATTACATCTGGCATTAGTGTGACACACACAAAAAAAAACTCTTTACAATACAATATAAAAAAAACAACTTCATTAACCAAAATTTTTAAAAAGTGTACAAAGACTCACACTGGGACCGCGGCAGAAAGTCTTTTTGCATGATACTGACATGTATGCTATGGAATGAGTATTTTCATCACCATATGCGGAGGAGGTTGATGCTGCATGGGTGAGCTGTATTACACTTCAGGGACTGGGCAACCCAATCTCGGTTCTTTGGAGACAACCACATATTCTGCGCAAGTCGAATACCGTTGACCTTCCATCCCGCCCCGTCACCCTCACTGTGTGTCACGATGGTGGTGGGGCTCGGAATGCCAGGCTATGGATCACACTATCCCTCTTGGTCCTTCCATTCATCCATTTCCTTTTTTATCTCTTCACTTGTCAAAAGCATGATGAATCACAAGTGGAAAGTCAAATGGTTAATCTCTATCTCCTTCTCTCGTACATTCTTTTGTCTTCATCTCTCTTTTTTTTTCTCTGTAAGTAATCATTGAGACTCCTGAGAGACACCCTTCACAGCTATGTGAGAAAGAAGCTTACAGGGACTATGAGACAATTAGGAACAAGTATTAGGGGATTAATTGCCACTGTTAAAAAGGGGTTACTCTCTTCTGAGTCTCCTTCCTCTCCTCTCAGCACTGACTTATTCTGGGCTGCGCAACACTGCTAATGCTGTTGGTAATTTTCCTTTTTTTTATGCATGGATTAAGAACTGCAACACCAATGCAGCACCTATACTCCAACATGAACTCAAGTTGACATGGAAAACAAAAAAAAATCAAAATAAGAAAAATAATGATCACAAACGACAATTGTAATAATGATGATAAAAAAATTACTGTCAGCTACATTCACAAATGTTAATACTGCATATTAACAAAAAAAAAAAAAAAAAAGAAAAAAAAAAAAAAAAAAAAAAGGGGAAACCTACCTACTGTGTTAAAATAAATCTTTAAAATTCCTTTAACATCCTGCAATAGATTGTTAAAATCAGTGATCATGAGTTTATTCCAGCAATTTGCCCTTTCCTGTTAGGGGATAAACTAGCCAACTATATTATCCATGAACATAACCTGGCTGATAAACTGACCAGTTCTACTAGTATACAATATCATCAATAAATTAAAGAACATGATAAGAACCTGCCGCAAACGGTACATCAAAGAAGAGACAATACAAAATATCGTGTTGCATAATAACGATAATAAGAGTTGTATGATATCTCCAGAACTTTGCAACCAAATCTGGCCCTTGGGAACTTGACTCATAAACTGTACAATATTGACATCTCATGCGAATTTTTACAAGACAGTACTCTGTAAATTTTGTCATTAATATTTCATTCCTCACTCTTCTTTTTCTTTATTGGAGTATTGTCCCGGTTTACCCTAGAGTAAGAAATTTTCAGGTTTCTGTTGCTGAAGATAATAAAGCATCATATGCATAGATTCCCTGATCTCACTATTAAAGTGTCAAAAGTATAATGACCTAAAACATTAGTCACTTCAATACCTTGCATTTCATTTCAAATGCTTTCATAAGCCTATCAATAATAAATATATCATTTGGCTTCATATACCATACATTCGTTCTCATCTACACTTAAATAACACTGAAATCCTAAAAGTATGGTTGATAAATATCTACTACTGAAAGGTGTTTTGTAAGATCAGACTTGTGAGGACACTGATATGGGATACAAAAGATAGCCATAAGACTAAAATGAGGTTGCTGACCCTCATAAATCACATCTAGTATCAGATGGTCTTATTAGACAGGAAGCTGTAAATCTTGATGGTGAATTATCAAAAACAAAAATTATTAAAAAAAAAAAAGAAAAAAAAAATCACAGGTAACTACTAATCATGTAAGAAAATCAGTTTGATCCCACTGCAATAATCTTTTTCATTTTCCTATTTAATGTTGTAATGCATTGCCTTTTGCTATAATACACACAATAATCATAACAGCTTTGTAAATAACTTATGTCTGGGGATCATGTCAGAACTATCCTTAATTTTTATCTTTTCTTACAAAACCCAAAATCAATTCCCCTTTTTAATTTACATACTTTTTGAGCCACTTTTCACAGGCAATAGAAAAAAAAATGCATACCCTTAAATCATCATCTGTCTCACCTTGCATTCTTGTCAGACTGTCACTAAATTAAATCACTTGCATCAACATGCCACATAAATCCACCCAATAACTTGGATCAGCGCAAGCGAATATGGCTGTCATTTGGGGGCCACCAGCCACACCGGGTTCTTTAATAACCCATTAATCATCATGTAAGTAGTTATTCTGCTTACCAGAGTCAACTACTCTCACCAGTAACTCTGTTATCCCTCCCAAATCAACACCAAATACAGAACCACAACACTTCTTATCCGTTTCCTTTTTATTTTCTCTTCTGAACTTTGAGAACAGAGGAAGGAAGGCAAGACTATGATCTAATGAGCCCTAGGGGTTTTATCACGATGCTGAAGTCCCTTCTGTTTCCGCTGATTTCTGCTCAATTTGGGTGGTATTTAGGTTTGAGGAGTCTGCTTGCGTAGGGGTCTCATCCTCCTCCTCCCTATCTTCCTCTACCTTCAACAAATCGTGGTCTGTTTGTGTCTCAGCATCCACAGCTGTGGTGGCTGGCTGGATAGATCCTGACCGGTTAGCTATGCTGAGCATCTCTCGTAAACCCTGATGGAAGAGGATGAAGTCATAAATGAGGGAGGACAATAGAAATCCTCTGAGACACACCAAGGAGAGAGATAAATAAAAGAAGAGGGCAATATAAGAGTCAATGAGCTTAATGCTTAATGAAGAGAATATAGGGGTTTGTGATGCCATGCATATAATACCCATATAAAAAATACAAACTGATCTACTTATCAAAGAGTTTGAGGGGGTTTCCAGAAACCAGCTTTAATGTGTTCATGGACATTAAACTACCAATAATACACACACAGGGACAGAGTGGAGTTTGGGATGACTTTGGTACAAAAACCCAGATACAAAACACAATCTTACTAGTACAAAATTATTAAACTTCCTAAAACAAGAAAAAATTAGAAAAAACAAAAGAAATGTGTCACCTTGTTTTCTGTTGCCAGGGCTGAAATTAATCTCTGTTGTTGTTGGCACTCATCATCGCCCAGTGAGGCTGCCTTCCTCATCACTGCAACCATCTCACTGACCCGTTCAATCTGTGCTGCCAGCTGTCGGGGTAGAACGAACACAATAGCTTTTGGGATTCAACAGTAACTCACAATGTTTGTCTATTAACCCCTTGCCGCCGGGTGACGGCGATACGCGTGTAAACAAATCGCTTGAAAGGTGGCGTACGGCCAAACCAGCCGGCGGCGCGCCAAAGCGCGGCGAGCCAGTGATTCGGGCTGACGCCCCGTACTCCGGCGCTCAAAGTCGGCGCGCTGCCTTTGTTTGCCAGAGCGTAGAGTTTTATTTTCCTTTTGTACACCCGGCGTCATTGGGTTAATGATAAAAAAAAATAATAATACAACAGAAAGCTAATTTTTCAGTTCATATTTTAACAGACTCCATTTTCCAACTGCACTAATTCTACAGCCAGAGTCCCCTTCCCTTTCCTGCTCTTTGGCTATACCAAAACACAGAAGCAGATCTGACAAATGTAAACAAGTGTTAAGAAATTCAGCATTCTGTACTTATGTATCCATTCACTTAAAGACAACAGTTCTCACTTAAATTAAAACAAAACTATCTTACCAGTAATCTTCTAAATAACTGATGAGTTGTTATCACTCCTCCAGACAAAATAATACCATGATAATGATCAAGTTACTTGACTACTTGGTAACTAAGTGCTTGTGAAACCATCTATGAGTAAACAAAAGTTATAAAACCAAATACAATGGACAGTGCATGTACCTGGTACCAATGCATATATGTTAAATACTTAAAGGTTGTTATCTGGCAAAACTTCTCCAGTGCACAAAAGACGTTATCTCAAGGGTAACCACAGCAATAGAAAGCTTAGCCAATGATGAGTTAATATACCCTCAAAAGTCCTATTCATGATGATCATGGGCAAGAACACAATGAGCAAGGAGTCCTATTCACCATGAATGTTGTAGACCCCTCGTTTGATTTTTAAAAACTGGCAGGCTTTTCTGGTACTATTTGACAAGTTTCCCACAATATCACCCCCATACCCACACCCCTGAGAAAATCACACAGTCGTGTTTTCCCGGTCCTTTCTTCTTGCGAATGGAATTCTGGTATTGCGTGGCATATTTCACTCAGCCAAAATCTTAGATCTTTTCTTTTGGCCGGACTTACCACCTGGTGTATCACTGTCCTTTTACTATTTATACATATAGATATCTGTGAATGTCTAAATAAAAAATGTATTATTTTATGTAAGAATATGATTTTATATATGCTTTATTTCCATATTTCCTAAATTCTCTCCCAATTTTCATTCATACACCACACGTCATTGTGATAACTTATCAACTATGCACAGTACACACACTGTGTATGTTAGATCTATCAAGATATAACTAAACTTTTGAAATGCCTGCAACTAAAGTAATCTCTGAGAAATGAAAAATCAACCCTTTTTGACAACTTGGAGGACAAGAGAATTTGCAGTCCTTAGGGATTAGGAGATAGCATCATTAACCCACTGACAGGCAGGAAGAGATAACTTTTTCACTTGAGGTCTGTCCTTCCTGAATGAGACAATACCTCATCCATGGGCATTCCTGGTTATTAGCAAACTGAAATTTGATACTGATGTGGCACCTTGTAGATTTAGCATTGGCTAAATGCAGAGGAGCCTTACTGGGTTGCCATCAGAATATGATAATAACCAATACTGATAAAATAGGGGTTTCTTTCTTTTGGAGAATACAGTCACTAAATGATGAAGTCAGAGACTTGTTAATCTTTATGAATTTAGTCTCCTTCCTTGGTGACATAGCAACATTATGGAGACATGTCTTTTATATAGTGACAAAGTACAAAAAAAAATCATAACAATGAAAAAATAGGTTAATAAAAAATAAAACAGAAGGGATTATTTCTGCATCATACAGGCTGACCATCTTGTAGTTAATAGCATAATAAGCTCTACCTGCTATGAAAAATGTTCAAGACATGGCGTATTTACTGTCTGCTTGTTTCACCAACAAGATCATTCATAACACCAGTTCTATCACAACAGGGACTCAAATCTCTACTTTGGAATCATACTCAAGAACTCAACAGTTTTTCCAAAAGATGAACAAGAAAACAAAAAATCACCCAAATCACTGACAAAACAAGTGGCAGAACCTCCTCAAACTTTTAAAAAGCATACGTTGATTCAGTACACATTGATCCCTTCACCCCCCTTACTGGTCACCCCAACGTGAAAAACTCCGGGAGAAATAAGACCAACACAATGCTGAGGTCACAAGGTTAGCTCCTGGAATCTGTGCAGGAGGAGAGACAAAAAAGCTGGAGTGAAACGACAGTCTATGGACTTCTGCTTATCTAGCAAACAGGCCTAAAACCCCCTGAAAAAATCAGACCGTGACAAGAACTAGACCCATCACATCAGAAACAACCCATCAGTGTAGACACAGTCACAAATAATTAAGCAAACATACGTAAACTAGACCAGACCATAAATACTAAGGGGGAGAATAACAAAAGATTTAAAACTCCTGCCCCAAAACAGACCTTAAGCTTACAGCCCCTGTCTGACTGGTGGAGACAGAAGCTGCAGTGAAGACAAAAATGGATGTGGGTATTAACTCTAATGAGAGAGGCTTAGATACCTTGGACATAAGGTGGTTATAATACACATTACAAACGGCATCCAATAACACTCATCTTGAGGTATGTTTGTTTCTTATAATTATAATATTAATGATAATGATAATGATGATGATGATAATTATAATAACAAAAACAGGGACAGCAACTATTACAATTACAATAACAATAACAAGAAAACAACTATAACAATAATGCTGATATTAGTACTAATAATGATTGTGCTAATAACAAGTAACAAATATCAAATGATAATAAAAAACAACAATAATAATCTTAATCTCTTATAGTTATTACAGAATCAGTCAGACATGAATTATAAGAGCCTGCCAGTTTGGGCAACATTCTGCCTCTACTCTCAGAATACCCAATTGTACTACAAATGATATTCCAATAGGACCATCTTTCAAGAACTTGGTTAATATGTGTGGCAATGGTAAACCAGAGCACTAACAAATATATAACACAAACCTATTATAACAGAGAAAGTTGCTGTTCTAGGAAACACATATCACATGACCACCTTTGCCATCAGGCATATTACCAGTCAGGTGAAGAATACTGATGCTAGCACTGCCAAAAGCATAAGAAAATCATAATTTATCCTCTATGGCAATATCTATAATATTCAGTTTTTTCACATAATTCTACTGACTCTTGTATAATCTGTGTTCCTGGATTACCAGGAATAAGGACCATGGACGGCTGAGCTTGGTTAAAGGGTAGCTGGCACCACTTGAACAAATCAAAGTGGTCTTCTCTTGGAATCATCCCTGGTGACCTAATATCCCTTACTCTCACTTTCAGTCTCATTCTTAACCTTACTTACACTCTCTATGAGATCTGGGCAGGCCAATAGTCCTAGGTCTGAAGCTGGAAAGATGGCATTACACTGTTCTTAATCTATACATTTATCTAAATTCTCTGTTGCTATCTGCAACAATAGTATGAATATAAAACACACCTGTTTTATATTCAGAAGTCATCTGAATTCTCTTGTAAGATTTTCCTTTAGCCTTTTCCCAGTGGGCTAAATGTAAATGCAAATGTCACAGATTTTATTTTCAATAAAATTATATAATGAACAGCTCATTCCTTTAGAGTAATAGCCAGAATGGTAGAAAAAGAATAAAAACATTGGTTACTGTTGTGGCTACAGAAGACAATGCCAGGTATTAAAAAGATCTAAGGTCAAGACAGTTTTACATTTTTACTCAATGTCGTTCAATTACACACTAAGCCAATCATCAGGCACTGAGCAAGGATAGATGGAAACAGCTCCAAGCAATTACAAATCAAAACAGTAATTATTCAATATTAGTTGTCTAACAGGAGTCCCCAGATAAAAATTTTCCATTTCCAATTAAGGCATCAGCAATATTATCAACAAAAGAGTTTCTGACTGTACATCAATGGTCCTTGATTATGAACATGTCAACAGTGAAAAGGAGAATTATTTAAGCTCAAATAAAACCTAATGCCATTGGGGATGGCACGGTCATGTAGGCCATGACTGTTTACCCTTTTCCTTGAATTTCAGATTTTTTTTTCTTTAATTCTATACTGTTATCAGCAATGTTAATAACATTATAATATCTATAAAAATAATAACAACATCAATATTAAGAGCACTAGTAAAAATTTAAAAAAGCAAAATGCAAATGAAGGGGAAACCAGGTGAGGACTTCTTGGTAGCTGAGCACTTGTGGAATTATAAACATTTCATAAAACCAAACCTAGTGAACATTACATTTTCCCAGTGGCATTGGGTTGAGCTTTCTTTTGTGAAATTATTAAGTTCAAAGTTTTTACAAACTTCAAATATCAAGGTAAGTCAAGTCAAGTCATCTGTATTGAAAAGTCAGGTTTCAACACTTATCTACTCTTCAGTACTGCAACAATCATAAAATTATCTCATTTAAAAAATAATCAAACAACCTGTAAACACCGAGACTTTTCGCCGAAGTAATACAATGGAATAAAAGCTTCTCTCACCTTGGCTTGGTCCTGGGTATTGGGCTGCATTTGCTTCTTGTTGACACTCACTAGCTTTGCTACCTGTTGCCTGTACTTCGACATTATCAGTTCCATGACGTTCTGATGTTCTTCAAGGGCAAGCCGGAGTTCTTTGTTTTCCTGAAAGGTTGTGAAAACAACGTCAAAATCAAAGCTCTTCAAGCAGCTTTTCTTTTTCTTTTTTTTTCTTTTTTTTTACGCTACAGATCCAACTTTTTTTCATTCTAAACAATTTAGTAGAGCATCTGAACTCTCTTGCTTCAGTAAAACTTCACTGAGCTTTCATTTCTTTCAACTACCAATACAGATCTAGCACAATGTAAAGTGTAAAATGAAATCACTGTCAAAAATATATGCATTTTCTTATAGAGGAGAAAACATACTGCATGCATATATGGCCTTCTTATCTAAACTGTAACAGACGTCTCTTATTTGAGGGTAAAATATGGACCAGTTCAAAATTTCTCTGCTTCCCAAAAGATATCACTACAGAAAAAAACAGTACACAAACTTTGATCTTAAAAGAATAACTGAAAACAAATAAATTTAGCAGATCCTTTCCCTTTTCTCATTTTTTTTTAATAACATAGAAAAATCTCTCTAAAGCAATGCAGAGTCTGCACAAAACAGCCTTTTCTCTCTTCTCTGTGGTGTGTCAGCAAGTAAAAGATTGGCTCATTGAAACACAATACGAGGGCTTTAAAAGACAGCACAAGATGAACTGCATCACACTGACATACATACATCAACCAGCACCATAAACACATAGAGAGAGAGTGCACAAAAATGAAGAATCTACGGCTAGACAATTAACATTTCTGCGTATGAGATGTAAAGCTCATGTGGGGTCTTGTTGGGTCCCAACCTCTGGCTGTCCAGATGACCCCTATATGGTCGGGCACTTGGCTGTCAAGCTGGGGATTATAGACAGCAATAGAGGGATGGATGAGCAGACCTTCGTCAAGCTATGCAGACTGAAAAAAGAAAGCTCTAACATCTTTTGCTCCCTGTTTTCAATGTTTTTGTTTTGTTTTGTCTTCATCTATTACTTTTTTTTGTATCAGGGTGTTAAGAAATGTTAAAATAACAAGGTGTCAGGTAGCAGAAAGCAATGAGAATTTACATCAAGGGAATTTGCCAATAGTAGATAAAAATCAGACCTTTTCTATATCTGGGTCACAGAATGCTCTGTTTCCAATCTTATTAACCTTAGCATAATAAGCAGATGGTCAGTCATAAATTTTGACAAGATCAATTCTAAAAACCTACTATATCGTGAAGAAAGAAATTTCTTATACCTAAATTTCGAATGAGTTTTAAACACCTCAACAGAGGTAACAGGGGAAGGACAGTTTTAGGGGAAAAAAATATTGGAATGAAGCACAGCAATTAAATACAAAACCAAAGATCAAACTTCAATGAATACCTAAACTACCAAAAGACAGATGTACTAATTCACTTTACACAAGTAGAGTCATAGTGTAACTCATTAAATTAAAGAAAGTAAATAAAAGGTTTCTCATTGAAAAAAAAAAAAAAGAAAAAAAAAAAAATACTCTTACTAATAATTAAACTAGCAAGCAATGGGTTCCATATCTGTAGTTCTAGACCTACAGCTACATAAAAGCCAGGTTTAATTATTTCAAAGCATATTGCTTCCAATACTCTATTGATGTGCAACTCTGGGCGAAGATAATGATCCCAGAGATTGCAAGCAGACATAAAAAACCTTTTCATAGAATCTGGAATTATCCTTTTTCACTGAATATGAAATTATTTTACAAGGTAATTCTAAATAAAGATGGGGTAACTACTTCTTACCTCATCTTATCTATTTGTAGAATAACAGGACTATTTAAATTTTTCTTAAATATGTGATGAAAACTATGAAGAGAGGGTATAATAAAGGGAAGAGGGAACGTGAAAGAAAAAGAGAAAGATAACAGGAAGCAAAAGAGGGAGAGGTCGAGGAGCTGATGAGAATATGAAGGAGGGAATATAGAGGAGGAGAAAAGAAGAAAAAAAATTGAAGAGAAAATGATATAGAAGAAAGGAAGAGTGACAAGGGGAAGAAAAGCAGGAAGATGAGGCAGCAAAATGAAAACTGAAAGAACCAGAGGGTGTGAAAAGAGTAATGGTAAAGGCACAAAAAAATAATAATAATAAATAAAAAAAAAATAGACAGAAAAGGTGGAAAAAAAATATGACAAACAGGAAGAGATACAGGATTTTCAAAAGGAAAATGAGAAGAATAGGAATAGGAAGTCAAAGAAAAATAGGAATAAAAATAGAGGATAGAACAAAAAGAGGCAGATTATAAAGATGAGAAGAGGGATAAAAGGGTAAAAGACTGAGAAAGATGGAAAAGGATAAGGAACACCAACTATTTCAGACTGCCATAAAAATACAGCAAATCTCAGATAAATCTTTCATAATCAATACACTCATACATCAAGAAAAGAGAAAAAGAAGGAAAAAAGTTGCTGATGATATAACATCTAAATCCCACACTTGCAAGCCAATGCAAGAAAGGCATCTGTTTAATCTCCTCGTCACAGTGCACTAACCTGCTGCAGTTGTCTGATGTGTCTGTTCTCCTGCTGGATCGAGTGTATGAGGGCGCTTCGTGGTCGGTTGTTAGCTGCCTCATTGAGTTCGTTCATCTCCTCACAATACTGAAAAAAAAAAAAAAAAAATTAATGAGCTTCTCAACTCTATGATCATTTCTACCCATCGATTTTCAAAAGCAATGGAAGGCCTTTAGTCTGGAAGGTAAAATCTTAAAAATTACTAATAATCACAATAATAATGATTAAGGAACTCACAGGAGCAAACAAAATGAGCCGTAAAGAAAAAAAAAAAAAAAAAGAGAATTTCTTTGGTAAGAGCAAGTGGCATCCAATCAGGCAATACCTTAAAGACTACTGTATGTTTTCGTTTACTTCGGGGGAGGCGATGTTGATGTGGAGTGGCAGCCACAGGTGCCACAGGTGCCACAGGTGCCACAGGTGACATAAGAGGCGCAGGAGAGGCAGGACCCGGAGGCATGGAGCTCTCCGCTCCCCGGGCTGGTGGGAGGGCGGAGGCCCCAGCCCTCCCTCGCATACTGGGGTGCCCTTTCACGTGCTTCCCTTGTCCGGTTTTCGGATTCATAGGAGGAGGGAAGCCGTCACGGGGAAAGCACGGTTTGATTTTCGTGACTTCCTCTGCGCTAGGGCTCAATCCTGAGGCGGATCTATTAGGCTTTGAGCGATGATATCCAGTCATGGATCTGCCTGAATTCAGTTCAATTCCCTGTGTCTCTGAGCATCATTTGTTTTATCATGAACCTGCGCCAACTTTCTAAGAAGACCAAATAACAACACATTAAGACCTCAAGAACACACTTTTGTATTCAACCATAGAAATTATGCAAATTAACAAACAAGTAATAAAACCATTCAACCAATAAATTCTCTAATTAAAGAACTCTTTATACTTCTTAAAAAAACAGATACGTCCTAATTCCTTGAATCCTAACAATGCAGTTATAACAGAGGAACATCATAATGGTTAATAAAAAAACAATAATGTCACGTAAAACTAGAACAATAATAACGATAATGATAATGATAATGATAAAGATATAGATAATAATAAATAATAACAATATCAATAATAATGACAATCATAATAATATGATAATGATGATGATGATGATGATGATGATGATGATGGTGATGGATATGGTGGTGATGGTGATGGTGATGAAGATGGTGATGGTGATGATGAAGATGCAGATGATGGTGATGAAGATGGTGATGGTGATGAAGATGGTGATGGTGATGATGAAGATGCAGATGATGGTGGTGATGATGGTGATGAATATGGTGGTGATGGTGATAATGATGGTGATGAAGGTGTTGGTGGTGGTGGTGGGGATGATGGGATGAATATGGTGATGAAAATGGTGGTGGGGGTGGGAATGATGGTGATGATGGTGATGAATATGGTGATGGTGAAGATGATGATGATGATGACAATGATAATGATGATGATGATGAAGATGATGGTAAAAGTAACAATAATAGTAACAGTAATAGAAATAGAAATAGCAATAGTAATAGCAATAATAACAGTAATAATAAAAAATAAAAAAATAATAATGATAAAATTGATATTGAAACTAATAACAATAGTGACGGAAACAGCTAGGAGCAATAATCATTACCACATTCCTGCAACATCAGATCCCTTTTCCCTGCAATAACCCCAAGAAACAAACAAAGAGGGTGCAACGCCAGAGGAGGGCAGTGACAGCAACCTTCCCCCCTTCCCCCCCCTCCCTATCACCCCCGTAGGCAACCAAGCAAGAGGGAGGGTGCATTGCAATAATCTCTCTGGCTAGGTACTTGGCACGCGCCATTAGGTCAACGCACACGAGTACACACATGTATACAGACACGAGCACGCATGCACAGACACGGAGACCCACATAAACACACACACACACACACACACACACACACACACACACACACACACACACACACACACACACACACACACACACACGCACATGCACACACGCACACACACACGCACACGCACACCCATCTCCCGACCCGCCCTGTACACAGACAAACGCTCCTTCCCTCCCTTTCCCTCCTCTCCCCTCACCTCCCTTCCCCTCATCTCCTCTCCCCTCGCCCCCGTCCCCTCCTCTCCTCTACCCTCGCCCCCTTCCCCTCCTCTCCCCTCACCTCCCTTCCCCTCCTCTCCCCTTCCCCTCCTCTCCCCTCATCCCCCTTCCCCTCCTCTCCCCTTCCCCTCCTTTCCCCTCCTCCCCACACAAACAGCCTCGTAAGCCCCCGCAAGGAGCCGGGAGCACGCAACCCCACCGAGCCTAACGGGCAAGAATCAGTCTACGGCCGAGTTTCCCTTCGTCTTGGCGCTAATATTCCAACACTTTTTTTATCATTTTATCGATACTTCCTTTATTATCATTATTGTTATCATCTTTATGGCCATCACTATCTTCATAATACTAAGGGAAAAGGGTAATAATAATAATAATAATAATAATAATAATAATAATAATAATAATAATGATAATAATAATAATAATAGCAATCATCATCATTATCATTATCATTATCATCATCATCATTATCATCATCATAATCATCATCATCATTATCATCATCATCATCATCATCGTCTTCGTTCACTGTCACCGCTGATTCTTGTCCCGATCATTATCATTAACAAAATCACCAATGCCCTAATCAACTCCCCTATCATGATCGCGTAAGACGGTGAGCAACGACGAGGTAATGGCAAAGGAAAAGGGATAGAAAGGGTAATAGCGAAATTGATAGCAGCAAAAAATCATTTCATTCCTTCATCTTTATCGCACACACAAAAAAAAAAAATGCGGAATTCTTCTGAAACTTCTCTTCTTCTCTGCAACAACAATGGCGTAACACGTGTCAACATGTTTGCAAAAAGTCACGACAGCATAGCCGGGCCGACCACGTGGGCGGAGATCAATAACAACATCAAACAATACCCGAGCTTCCATGCTCGCTCTTGCATTCTCTCTTTTCTTCTTTCTTTGTCTCTCTTTTCTCATTCTTTAACTCTTTCTATCTTCTTTCTCTCCTTTCCTTGTCTTCCTTTCTTTCTTTCTCTCTCCTATCTTTCCTCCCTGTCTCGATCCCTCTACCCGTGTTCATTCCCTTACCCCTTCCCCTCTTTTGCTCCTCTCTTTTTCCCCTTCTCTCTCCCCTCTTCCTCTCCCTGTTCTCTTTTCTCTTCTTTTCTTTACCCTTCTTCTTCCCTATCTCTCCCTCTCTGTCCTCCCCTTTTCTCTCCTCTTTACTCTCCTTCCCTATCTCTCCCCCTCCCTTCCTCTTTTTCTCCACTCTCCCACTCTACCCTTTCTCTCTCTTCTCTCTTCCTCCGCCTTCTCTCTCCTCTCGTCTTACCCCCAAAGTCCCTCTCCTCTGCTCCTCGTCCTTCCCTTCTCCTTATCCTCCTCCCCTACCTCGCTCACACCCCCTTCCTCCCCTCCTCCTTTCCCCCAACGCCCTTAGCTCGTCTCGTTTCAAAGACGTGGATAATTGGCCCCAGATACCTGCGACATCGGCGTCAAGGGGTCGCTAATGGCCGCAATTGGGTTGGCCTGTTACAAGGGGAAGATTGGGGGGGGAGACAGAGACAGACAGACAGATAGACAAAGAGAGAGAGAGAGAGAGAGAGAGAGAGAGAGAGAGAGAGAGAGAGAGAGAGAGAGAGAGAGAGAGAGAGAGAGAGAGAGAGAGAGAAAGGGAGAAAGGGAGAAAGGGAGAAAGGGAGAAAGAGAGAAAGAGAGAAAGAGAGAGAGAAAGAGAGAGAGAGAGAGAGAGAGAGAGAGAGAGAGAGAGAGAGAGAGAGAGAGAGAGAGAGAGAGAGAGAGAGAGAGAGAGAGAGAGAGAGCGAGAGAGCGAGAGAGCGAGAGAGCGAGAGAGAGAGAAAGAGAGAGAGAGAGAAAGAGAAAGGGAGAGAAAGAGAAAATGGGGGAGGGAGGGGGGGAAGGAGGGAAGGAGGAAGAGAGGGAGAGAGGGAGAGAGAGAGTGAGTGAGTGAGTGAGTGAGTGAGTGAGTGAGTGAGTGAGTGAGTGAATGAGTGAGTATGAGACGAAAGAGTAAGAGAATGAGAGAGAGAAGAGAAAATGAAATAAAAGGGAGAGAGCGAAGAGAAGCGAAACAGAAAAAGACAGAAAAAACGAAAATGAGAAACAGAAAACAAAGGAGAGAAAGAGAGAGAGAAAAATGGGTTGGTGCGACAAGCTAATTACCCGGATTTCGTAGTTTTCAAATTGTCGGGGGAAGGAAGAATACGACTGGGGGGGGGGGGGGGGAGACACAGAAAAAGAGAGGGAGAAAAACAAAAATTTTAAAAATAGAGGATGGAGAGACAGGGAGAGAGGTGAGAGACGAATAGGGAATAGGGGGGGGGGGGGGCGAAAGACAAGACTAAAAAGGAAAGAATAAAATGAAAAAATGGAGGAAAGAGGGAGAGGCAGGGAGAGAGGGGAAAGGCGAAGGGGGGGGGGGGTGAAAAGAGGAGAAAGAGCTGAAAAGGAGGGTGAGGGGAAAAAGGCGAAGAGCGAAAAGGAAAAGAGGAAGAAGGAGAGAAAAGGGGGAAGGGGAGGCGAAGAGTAGAAAGTAAAAAGGAGGAAAAAGGGAGAGACAGTGAGAGGGGAAACCGAAAAGGGACAAAGCAGAAGACGAAGGAGGGGAAAAGATAGGGAGAGGGAAAAAAGAGGGAGAACAAGAGAGAGGGGAAGAAAAAGGGAGAAAAAAAATGAGAGGGAAAAAAGAAGGGGGGAAAAAAAGATAGGATAGGGGGGGGAAGAAAAGAAGAGAAAACAGGGAGAAAAATGGAAAGGGGAAAAAGAGGAAGAAAATGGAAAAGAGGAGGAAAGAGAGAAAGACAGGGCGAGGAAAAGAAGAGAAAGGAGAGAGAGAGAGAGAGAGATACAGAAAGGGGAAACAGAAAAGGGCGAAAAGGAGGAGATGGGGGGGGGGGGTGACGAGGGCGCTAAAAGTGTCCCAGTCTGTGAACGATGATTGGCGTGATGAATGGCCGAGGCCGAGTCGATGACGTTTAATTTGGGAGGGAGGGAGGGGGAGGGGGAGGGAGAGGGAGAGAGGGAGGGGGGAGGGAGAAGGAGAGGGAGAGGGAGGGAGGGAGGGAGGGAGAGAGAGAGGGAGGGAGGGAGAGGGAGGGAGAGGGAGGGAAGGGAAAGGGGGAGGGAGGGAGGGAAGGGGGAGATGGAGGGGGGGGGAGGGACTGGGGGGGAGGGTGCGAGGGAGGAGAGAGAGAGAGAGAGAGAGAGAGAGAGAGAGAGAGAGAGAGAGAGAGAGAGAGAGAGAGAGAGAGAGAGAGAGAGAGAGAGAGAGAGAGAAGGGGGGGGGCAGACAGAGAGAGACAGAAAGAAAGAAAGAAAGAATAGATCGTGGAGGCAAGCGCATGTAAAGAGTAAAAATATCCCGACGGATAGAAGATGGAAAGAGAAGAGAGAGAGAGATAGAGAGAGAGAGATAGAGAGAGAGAGATAGAGAGAGAGAGATAGAGAGAGAGAGAGAAGAGAGAGAGAGAGAGAGAGATAGAGAGAGAGAGATAGAGAGAGAGAGATAGAGAGAGAGAGAGCGAGAGAGAGAGAGAGGAGAGAGATAGAGAGAGAGAGAGATAGAGAGAGAGAGAGAAAGAGAGAGAGAAAGAGAGAGAGAGATAGAGAGAGAGAGATAGAGAGAGAGAGAGAGAGGAGAGAGGAGAGAGATAGAGAGAGAGAGAGAAAGAGAGAGAGAGAAAGAGAGAGAGAGATAGAGAGA